TTATAAACAAAAAAATAAATTAATATAATTAATTATAAAAATATATTAAAATACATAAATACGTTTATAAAATAAGAAGAAACAGTGGATCCCCCCCCCCAAAAAAAAAAAAAAAAAAAAAAAAAAGTCATAGAAACAAGATAATTATAATTTATAAAAAAATATAAAAAAAAAAAAAAAAATACATAATTAAAAATGTAAAATTTTTCATTTTAAAAGTATACATTTTAATAATAGATCCCATTTTATATATGATGTAAATTAATATAAATAAAAATAAATTAAGAATAATTATAAAATAATATATAATATAGCGCATATTAATTTATTTATTTATTTATAAAAAAATTTAGAAAAATTTTTATATGTCATTTAAATTTGTATAAATATAAATATATATATATATATATACTATCAACTTTCTATAAATTATAATATATTTATTTTTCTTTTTATGAAGGAAATAAATTAATTATATGGAGAAATAAAATAAATGCAATTTACATAGAAACAATTTGTAAATTAGTATATCTAATAAACTAAAATATAATTTAATTATATAGAATATATATATATTGTATTTCTTACGTATAACTGCATGAATTCTTATATATATATATATATATATAGAAATATATATATACTATATATATAAAAATAATTAAGTATTTATAAAAATATATATATAATATAAAATATGTGAATACATAAAACACAAAAAAAAAAAAAAAATATATTTGAATACAATATAATATTACTAATAAAATTAAAAAAATATATATAGGTTTTAAAATATATTATTATAATTACCTATTTATTTTCTAATTATTTATTATTTATATGTTACAACAAACATTAATTTTAATTTACCACATTATATATATATATATATATATATATATATATATAGATATAGATATAGATATAGATATATGAATAATATTTTTAGATTAATCTATATATAAAAAAAAAAAATATTCTTAGTTAACACAAAGTGTTAAATACTATATAAAAATACAAAATTCTCCAGGAATACCAAAATTAAGGTACAAAGAATTAAGTTCCTTATAAATTATATATAATAAATAATATATATATATATATATATGCATCTGTCAAATATTAAACAATTTTTTTTTTTTTTCAATTATTCATATTCAAAAATAACATTTCTATAAATGATAATCATAATATTTATAAAATATATTATATATTTATTTATTTATATATTTTTAATTTATTATTTTTTTTCCAAATATAGTTATAACTAGCTCATGTTAATATATAACAAGGATGATAAATATTTTAAAAAAAGTAAATATTTTCCTTTTTAAAGAAAAATATGAATAAACATAAATTGTAATTAAAAATAAAAAGAATGTGGAAAATTAAATATTCATATATATATTATCAATTTCTTATATCTTAATATTTCACTTTTTTTAAAGAATATAAATTCATTTTATCCTTTTAATCTAATCTTTTTCTTTTCTTCTTTTTATTTTTTAGATATAAAATATTCTATAAGTATAATATCTTTAAAATCACATTTTGAATTATTAATATAACAAATTAGTTATGTATAAAAATGTTAATTATAAATTATCATTAAGAAAATATATATATAATAATAATAATAATAATAATAATAATAATAATATCAAAACAAAAAATAGATTAACAATTTTTCATACATTTTATGTAAACAAATATATGTAGGTATAATAATGCACAAGGTGAATCTCTTAAAAAAAAAAAAACATTAGAAAAATATAACATTAATACATCTTATAAAAAAAAAGAAAATAAAAAAACATCGCTTTTGAAAATTACAACAAAACATTAAATATGAATAAACATATATATATATAATATTCCCCATATTTGTTATAATATTTATCTTCTTCTTCTGAATGTAGAAGTACGAGTATTCTTATTATTCTTATTATTCTTATTATGCTTAGGTGAGGTTTTTTTGTGTTCATTTTCTTTTTCATCATCATCATCTGTAATGTCATCTTCAAATAACGTTCTTATTTCATCCTTTATATTTGTATTTTCTGTAATATCACTTTCATCTTCATTTAAAAACCCTTTGAATAATTTACCCGATATTCCTGTTGCACCTTGTACAGTGTTAGAAAACTCACCTCCAAAGCTTTTCATAATATCCTTAAATCCATCTTTTAAGGCATCACATTCTTGCATAATACTTTCTTCACCTCCTTCTTCAATCTTTTTCTTTATGTCTTCTTTTAATGCTTCCATTTGTGGCTTAATATCATGCATAACACCTTTAACGATATCTGTTAAACTCTGTTCCGTATGAACATTTTGTTTAGTTGTACCATCATCATTCATATATTTTGAAAATAAATTAGTCTTAATACCCTGAAGTAATGGTGCTAACAAATTACCCAAATTACCACATGCAGATGTTGTTTGATTTATAAAATTATCAAGCTCAGGAATGTTACCTATATTACCATTAGTACGTGATGTTGTACCACTACTACCTGGTTCTTCGTTCTTTTCATTACTCGACAAAATTCTGTTATTTCGGAATCCTACA